GGGGTATTTTCGCATTTTAGTGGCCTTCATGCGGGCTGATTCGATGATTTGTGGCATTTACACCTCTCTTGGCAACAATTTTTTGCAGAACACGGAAATGAGAGGTGTCGGAGGTCTAACGTCTATTTTTAGCCCTTCCATTTAGGACAGTCAGTAATCGTCCCAATCATAGCAGATCCAGTAAATTTTGCCCCAAATGAGAAAAGCAAGATCAAAATCCTTTTGAAGTAGCATTTTCTTTTCCGTACTCGTCGGCGTAACGTTTCAATAAGCAATTAATTTTCCATTTGTAGCTTTCTTGCACTTTTTGACATCCTTTTTCATAGGGATCATATTGGTCTAAAGTAGTTGGCATATGTGTTCAGATACTCTGTCTGTCTGAAAAATGTGAAGCTGCATGCAAGGAAGCATGCGAACCCTCAGCCTCAGCGGTGTTCAAACGAAACTGCTTCGTGATTCGAAACGTAAACGTAAAAGGTGATAGCGGCATCTGCATTTAGGGAGTCACTCATGGGCGCCGCCATTGACTTTGAATGTTTGCTTCTAAACAACTAATTTTAAAGCAGATAGTGAAATGATTAAGAGCCCGAGGTGGGCACTCCAGTTGAGGTACACTTTTTGTCCACACTCCAAGTCTGCGTCCTCTTCAATGTATTTACTGAGTGATTCGCTGTGACTGCCTGTCCCTGTAACCTGGTACCGCCTGAGCTGAAGATTTTGATTTGCTCCCTCGCAGCATTACCGCGAGGAGGGAAGAAGGCAGTCACGCAAGGATTGAGAGTCCAACTATCTCGCCCACCTTATCTCAGGCATCGAAGGAGAGTTGGGGAGGGAGAAAAGAGATCAACAGAGAGTGGCAGCATGCTAGCCCGAGGAGGTGGCGCAGGATGCTGACAGGTCTTGCATTGCAGCCGCTTCTTGTGCCTCCATTTGCTGACAATGACGACCTTCAGAACACCGGTAGCAGCAGCGTGTAGATGGATGGACTGAAAGGTGAAAGACTGATGGTTAAATTTATGAATTTCTCGTTACCAACTTCCACTTAAACAGTAGAGAAGGCAACCTTATTTGTTTCAACGCTATCCAAGCATTCACTTTCTCCCCATGCCTTGGTCGACGTCTCCTTCTTTTTCTAGATGATGCAACCAAACACCACTAATCTTGGCTGTGCAATTTGTATGAGTAACCAATCGAGGCGAAGTCTCCAACGCCTTTGTTGATCATTTCCGTGGACGTGTATTAGCCTGCGTGGGTAAGTCGTGGTACCCCACATGACGCTGTGGTAAATTTCGTTTATTCACTAGGCAGTGCTTAACATGATTTTGTTTTAGAACCTAAAATGCGTTGTCGAGCCTACTGTAGTCTTAACATGACCCACCTTCTCAAAAGGTTTGATTTCTTAGAGAACATTCATTTTAACATGAGTGGAAAAATGTTGGGAGGTGCGCAGTTCTGGTGAAAACATCTGTTTCTGCTCCACATCCAAGAGATTCTTCACCTTAACGAGGACGGCGCTTCTTCTGCCTCCTCGTCTTCCACTTGTAAGGCAGCCTAACAAGCCCATTTATGTTGCAGTTACAACCACTGCCTCGCATTCAACAACATTTGACGGAGAATATTAATGAAAGGAGGAAGTCAGGTATCACCAAAGCAGTTTACCTTACAGATTTGTATGCTAACGCAAAGCATGAAGGAATAGGTGGAGAGAACAAGAAACTTCAAGATGAAAAGGAAGAGGCGCCTCCTGACTTGACAGCAACGATGCAGAGCCCCTCTGCATCGATGAAGTCAAACACAAAACCTGAGATTCTCTTTCTTAACAGTGGTGATGGAAAGGAAGATGTCAAAATCGAAGTAGGTGTGGCGGAAGAAGCTGCAAAATGAGGATAAGCATCCATATTCTTCCGGTTTCAGTCGTTACGCTTTCTTTCGTTCGGGGCTTTTGCAGTTGGTTTTGCTTCCTAAGGTGTCGAAGGGCCTTCCTTCGTCCAGTCGTGTTGGCCCATCAGTTCTTTTTTCCACATGGAGATTAATGTGATTGTGACAAGCCCTATTCGCGCAAATAAGGCCACAAATGCTGGACGGCAATCCAATTTTGGCTTCACTCCACCGGCAAGGAATCAACAGCAGTTACTACTGAGCTGAGGAATGCACAAACTTAATGAACTGATGAAGGATGAATGGATTTATGGTACATGCACGGAGAAACCGAAGTTTGACCAATGGAATAATGACAACAAAAGGCAGAAGAAACGCTGCTGGAGGACCTTGAAACAAGCTGTGTTTTTAACCAGACGCATCCTCAGAATCTGTCAAAGGCAAAAGGGCAAACAATGGGAGAAGGAGGTGGCATCTGTCTGCGATGAAGTTATGCCTTCCATTGGGTCCGTTGTTTTCCAAGAGATTCAGCAATGGAGAAAGTCATTGGCTGGGAGGTGAGAGCATCTTGACTCAAGCGAACGAGGAGGTCTCTTGGAAGTTTTAGGTTTAATATCGAATGCGACCTCAGCCTACTTCCAATGAACCGGAGCGAGCTGGAATTCCTTCAGGTGGTCCTAACCGTAAAGCCAATCACGGTACCTGATGTAGAAGCAGTTGATTTATTTTTTGTCATCCTCGTCAAACTACACCCGTCAAATAACTGAAAAATTGACTGACGCGTTAGTCGGCCAGTACTTTTTTTCCATTTCCTTATATGCCTTCGAGGCTCAAGCTGCCCGTGGAATTATCCTCAAGGGTTACTACTGCTCCTGACGCATCTTTTTTTCAGTTTATAGATCCTTTTGTTATTGCACATTTCCCTTATCTGACTTCCAATTGCTACAAACTGAACTTAAAGCGCTGCGATGAAGAGTTTGCAGGAACGACTCTCTCTCCCGATAGCAGATCGGGCATCTTTGGACTCCAGATTCAGAGGTGAGTTTTGCCTCAGTCTCATTCTTTGGCAGTCTTTTCAACCTAAAAACTGAGATGTACTTGCAGATCACACATGAATAACTTTGTTGATGGCCTCGATGGCAAACGCGCTGGAGGTCACAACAGTTCTCATAGCTCCTAGTTTAGGCATGGAGAGGCAAGCCGACGTACGAGGCTACCAGCTTGAACCATTTGAAGAGTCTTACCGATACATGGACCTTCCTCTGCAACTACGATATGTGAACATGAAGCTCAAAAAATCAGTCCAACACTAACTATGTGCTCTGTCAGACACTCGGACGGAGGAAGTAGTCTTAAGACACCACCAGAACTCCGGTTCGTAGTCGTCTTCATTACTCTTGCTCATTCGCCTCCAGCTCCACGGACGCTTGCAGGTTGTAGACTGTTCTGGAAAATGGTTGCATCTGCTGCATTCACGACTCCTGGTTTAGCTTTTTTAATGTGCAAAACTCATTCTCGCGTCACCTAAACTTTCCTCTCATAGGAGGCGGTCATTGAAATTTAAGAAGGATGGCTTGAAAGGCAGAATCTCTTCAAATTTATCTTTATGCCTTTTTGTTGGTGGTGTTCTTAAGTGCTGCGGTCCAGCAGCGCCTCACATTGTCGTTACTAAACAAAAGACTTTCGTAAGTTGTCCGTCACATGCTCTCCTCGTCGCCTGATTCACTTCTTCTGCCTGCCAAACTGGTGTGCATGTCCAATCGACTCTGGGGACGGCCATCACTTTACCGCTGGCCCCATCGTTGAGTGGGTGGCTGACTGGTCTGTTGGTTGAGAAAATGGCCTTACCTCTTCGAATCCTCAAAACCACAATACCCAATCAATCAGTTGTCGTTATTTTATCATCTTTTCATCCTCA